ACTGGGGTACATAATCTATGGTTAGTATATATATATATATATATTAGTAACCTACTATTTAGGTATCCGGAGCCCCAGGGTTCGTCAATGATGGTTCCTGTTCAAGCTCAAATGCAACGGAGGACACACGAAGAAGGATCAACAAGCTCCACCACTCCACTGGTCTGATGAGGATGCCTGCTACCACGCTTCTCAGATGAATGGGATTCCCGAATCAGGGGTCTACGGCACGTGATACGTTAAAGGAGTTGGCTGTTCATATCAGGAAGTCATCGGCTCCAGGGCTTTAGGATGCAATATAGCGGCCTTGCTACTTACGATAAGGGCTTGGGGCACACTGTTGCATACTTGTTTCGGGACTAGACGGTAACGTCATTCGTTTTACAGGCTCCGTAGTCGCCGAGGCCTTCGGATGAGGCCAGCCGCAGCCCAAGGGATGGGACGATGGATGCCTCGAGGTGGCCGCAAAGTGCCCTAGGGTAGGGGCCTTGATGCTTACATTAGGGTCTGGGGTATAAACCATAGTAGGTATACCTATTAGGGTTTGGGGTATATACTATATGTAGGTATACTTACAACAACGAGGGATTCTGAGGAACAGGATCAGCAAACGTTCAGGCTTATCTTTGTGGATCTGCTCTCTGGAGTCTCGTGCTGTGTCTGTGGCAAGGGTCTCATCTGCCTTGAACCCTGGGCCTGCAACTAAACGGACCCGAAGCACCACACCCCAAGGTTTATTTCGCGTTACATATATCAAGACTCTAGAGGGGCAGCCGTAGGGCTTTACGGTCTAAAATCAGTTAAGACTTTAGGATACCACTCCCGAGGGGGGCACGGCAAGGAACAACCATCCTCCACATTGCGATGGGCGGAGGTACCCGTCGTGGAGAAGATTAACAGAAGACCAAGCTACAAGCACCATGGTGAGCACTGTCGAGGGCTAATGGCCCAAGACCCATAAAAGGCTATCATTCCACATACCTTTAGGGTCCAGGTAAGACCCTGAACCCGAAACCCCAAACAATAGACCCTAAACCCTAAACCCTAAAGAATCGACCCTAAACCCCTAAACCCCAAAGAATAACCCTAAACCTTAAACTCCAGGACCCCCTCTTCCCCTGAGCCCTGAGCCGCCGCCCCGTCGCCAGCCCTCTGAATCCGCTGCTCGGCGTCCAACGCACGAGCCGCTTCCAAAGCAGCCTGCGTTTAGGGTTTAGGGTTTCGGGTTTAGGGTGTAGGGTTTCGGGTTTAGGGTTTAGGGTTTCGGGTGTAGGGTTTCGGGTTTAGGGTGTAGATCTTCGGGTTTAGGGTTTAGGGTTTGGGGTTTAGGGTTTAGGGTTTAGGGTTTCGGGTTTAGGGTTTAGGCCTGCTTTTTGGAGGGCTCCAGTTACCTCAACAGGAGGTTACCACCCAAATCTTACGTATTATACCCTAGTAACTAATTATCTACTCTAGGTAGCCTTGTAAACCCTAAACACCAAATTTCAATCCCCAAAATGCTGAACCCCAACGCCCTAAACCCCAAATCCTACACCCTTAACCCTAAAGACGTCCCAAACACCCAAACCCTGAATCAGATCCTGGACCCCAGATCCTACACACTAAACCCCTAACCCGCCTAACCCCTAAACCGCCTAAACCCAAAACCGCCTAAACCCTGAACCGCCTAAAACCTAAACCGCCTAAGCCCCAAAACCGCCTAAACCCTAAACCGCCTAAACCCCAAAACCGCCTCAACCCTAAACCGCCTAAACCCTAAAACCCGGTGATCCTGTGGACAGCTTACGGGTTCCTGGCTCTGCTTCTGTCAGCTCCTACCTGACTAGATGGCGATGATTTTGGGTAGTTGTCAAAACTATGGTCCCTTTCGGGGTACCCTAAATAATAGGTGCCGTATTAATATAATAGGGACCCAAAAAAGGGACCATAATTTTGACAACCACCCATTTGGACTTAGATACTGTAGGGGCCTTAATGATGAGAACAGGTTTTGGGACATATTATGACAAGTATACTCTATATTATCGCGATTCTGGGAACCCTACGGAGTATGATAAATCATGAACTTAGGCTTCTGTACTACCTACGAAGATGCGCAAGGCGCAAGGTCTTGTGAACCCTCTGCTGGAAAACTCTGCGAAAGTCGAGCTTGTTCTCAAACTTTCCCCTGCTGCCACAACACCAGAGGCAGCCGATATTGAAGGACACAAACCGTGCACGGGCGTATTCAATTTCCAAACCCCGGATCCCAAGCTCGATGGTGATCCATGCCGGACGCCTGAAAACAAAATCCCAACATACAGCCTCAACAATCCCCGACCACGAGCATTGACACCGAATGACGATATCGTTACCAGCCATCAGCACCCCGGCGCACAAACACAGTGACCGAAGCAACGGCCATTCAAACATCCGCAAAGGATCAACAGCATCATACGGGCACCGTACCTGCACCCTTACTTGTATCGCTGTAACAACTTTAGACACTTAAGCTTAGACCCCGACGCTAACTCAAACCAAATTATATTGCGTGATCAAACCATCAAACTTACGAAAATCTGCGAGTAGCCTAGGCTACTTCACTGGAATTTGCTGAATATAATACAGAAGTACACACACACAAATATATAGTTCTCCCAGTTTCTCCCTCCCTCTCTCTCCCTCTCTCTCTCTCTCTATCTCTCTCTCTCTGTCCCGCTCTCTCTCTCTCTCTCTCCCGCTCTCTCCCTGTCTCCTTTCGACTAACGTTGATGGCACTCTGCGACTCGGCGTCCTCTGCGATGTCCGGGGGCGCCAGGAGGGCCAGGGGCGAAGGATCCCGTGCAGGAGCCTGCGTCGGTCTTTCTTTTATCGCGAGGGCGGGTGTTTGGGTTTATAAGGGTCTTGGGAGTTGAAATCTCAGGGATTGAAAGTTTAGGGCAGAATTCTGTGATGTCCACTTTGTTTGGGAGTCGGGAATGAGTCCTCCGCAGCCTTTTCGTCGTTTGAGGTTTAGTGCGCTTGGGCTTTGCAAGAGGCTCACCGTTCAGGGTTGAGGGCTTCGGGGCTTGAGACATTGTTGCGATTGGTCGAGCTGTGCGCCCAGGTTTGTCCTGTGGGTTCAAGGTTGCGGGCCTGGGGTGCCCTACGTAGGCTATGGATCAGAGCTAAAGTTTCACATCTAGGACTTTAAAATGAACCCCCAACGACCCTCGAAGCGACCTCGGTGGTCCTGGTGGGATGCAGAGGCATCAGCTGCTTCGCATATAAACAGCGACCCATCCAGTGAGGATGCAGAAGAAGACTGGGGCTTGCTCCTAAACCCTAAACCCTAAACCCTAAACCCTACAGCTCATTCTTCATCCGGTCAAAGATCGAGGCCAAGGCGGAGGCCGAGGGTGGGGGTCGCGGACGGCGGAGGTCGTGCTGTTGGACGCATGGATGACGGTTTATATAGGGTTTAGGGTTTAGGGTTTAGGGGTTTAGGGGTTTAGGGGTTTAGGGGTTTAGGGGTTTAGGGTTTAGGGGTTGAAACCATAGCATCCTCAGCGACGTTGAGACAGTCGTCTTCAACGCCCTCGGCCACAAAGCAGTCTCAGTTCAAGCCTTAGCCTGAGCCAGCTTGTCTGGCGGAATGTGGTGGTTTAGGGTTTAGGGTTTGGGCCGATTTCATCGTTGTCTACAATAAGAGTTTGGAGCGTCACATTTTGGACGTCCGGGCCGTCCGGGTGCTGTCTCCTGCAGTTTGCATCTCCTAGCCCACAATAGGCTTCAAGGCACTGCTATCTGCCATGCCTTGGGGATTGAACGGTTAAACCTAGGCTATCACCACGCACCTGCCTTTCCAACAACCCAGGCACCCACAACTCCAAAAATGCAGGAACAAAAGCAATACGTACTTAAGCCCAAGCACACAAGCGTTTGACGACAAGAGCAAAAAAAACTGAACCCTAAACATCCCTTCCTACACGACCCCAACACCTTTAAAGCTCCATCTAAACCCGTAATCCCTGAACCCTAGCACTCTAAAGCCCGAAAGCCTGAAACCCTAAACCCTTAACCCTAAACCCGTAATCCCTGAACCCTAAAGCCCCAAAGCCCGAAAGCCTGAAGCCCTAAAGCCCCACACCCTGCGCCCTAGACCTAAAGAAAAGCCCGAAGCCCCCAGGCCCTAAACCCTAAACCGCAAAGGTCCAAAGCCGCAAAACCGTGAAACCGTGGAGTCGAAACCAGAAGCTGCCCTCCGAAACGGCAGTCTATTTAGGGTCTATACGGTTTAGGGGTTTAGGGCTTTAGGGCTTTAGGGTTTTAGGGTTTTAGGGCTTAGGGGTCTAGTATAGTCTACTCTAGTCCATTATAGCATGTAGTCTATACTGCAGCAAAAACCACGCTGACATTCAATTCAAAGAACGGAAGGTTTCTGGAGCCATTGCCTCAAGCTGCAAGGGTTTAGGCCGGTTTCGGGTTTAGTGTTGAGGCTTTGTAAGTTTAGGGCCTGGGTTTAGGGTTCAGGGTTTTAGGGTTGAGGGTTTTAGGGTTTAGGGCCTAAGGTTCAAATGGTTTACTGTCCAAGAGAGTACGAATACCCAGGACCACCAGCCACGACGTGTTATACACGTCCTTGGAGCTCCGTCTCCAAAACAAGCCGGACCGATTCAGTAGTGTCCGTACGGGTGTATGTATGTATGTATGTATGTATGTATGTATGTATGTATGTAAGTATCTGATGTAGGGGCCTCAATGATTAGAATAGGGTTTTGGGGTATATTATACTAAATTGTGCTAAGGAACCCCCAAAATAGTATAATTAGGCTTCTATATTACGCAAGAAATTAACTAACAAAAAACACCAGGGCCCTGCCTCACCCTGTGCCCCGAGAAGCAGCTGCGATGCCAACTGGCGCAGACGAAAGAAGCTCGCGGATTAGGCTTTAGGGCTAGGGTTGAGGGTTTAGGGTTTCGGGTTTAGGGCTAGGGCTCTAGACACAAGCTGCACGATAACCTACACCCCACCCCTGTGTTATATTCCCCCCCCAACAACAAAAAAAAATGGGACACCCTGAACAGGTAAACCCTAGCCCCCTAACAAGGACTACAAACCATATGCCTCGTGCGACCCCAAATCCCCCGAGCAGTACACCTCCAGCCAGAGTCCGCTGGGAGATTTTGATTTCGTGGTTTTGAACCAGATAGTCCATCTCTGTGTTGAAAAGTCTGTTGCACAGGCTGGTGGTTGAAAAACAGGTTCCCAAGAATCAGGTGGTTTTCGATTCAGGTAGTTGTTCACCAGGAGCTGGCCAAAATAGGCACGGAGCCCCTACGCCCTAAACCCAAAACGGCCTCCCAGTTGAGAGCAACTTCTCTGCGGTGCTACCCACCTTGAAACCAACACAGAAACCCTAAACCCTAAACCCCTCTTACAAAGACGGTAGGTCTCATACGGGCCGCGTTGTCAGGCTCGGGGCGGAGGCTGATTAGTGGAGTTTGAGACTTGTAGGGTTTAGGGTTGAGGGTTAAGGGGTTTGGGGTTTAGGGCCCCCTAAACCCTTCAACCCTACTAAACCCTAAAACCCAGTTAAGGGG